AAAGAGAATAACACAGAGGGGAGAAAAGGAGTTTGTTTGTTGCTGCCTGACTTGCAACATCAGTGTTGGGGACAGGCAGGGAGAGCAGTCACATCAGCCAAGCTTGGGCTTGGCTGAGCAGGGAGGCCAGGCTGTGGCAGCCTGGCTGCAGGTGTGCTGCAGAAGGAGATAGAATATGGTGCCAAAGGGATAGGAGGATGGGTGCTCAGGGAGCTGGGAAGGTCTCCAGCAGCCCAGTATTACATCCCAGGCAAACTTTTCAAGTTCTTTGCCTCCCAGGCTATGACAAGCCTTGTATTCGGTCACAAGCTTCAAGGAAAAGCATCTGTTCCACTGGATCACAAGACGGGGGAGTAATTGTGGCTTCAGGCTGTGGCTGGTGGGGAGGAACCAGGCCCTAGCAGAGTTTTTCAGGGCAGACATGCCCTCTAGCTACAAGCCCACAGTGGGAGGAAGCTGTGGCTCTCCCAGCCCATGTGAGGTACAGCCTGGCCTACTGGAGAATGCGGAGTAAGGGCTGGAAGTGGCATTTGCTCTGCAGGAGCTGCTGGATCTGCATGGATGCACAGCTGCAGTGAGGAAAGGCAAAGGTGCCTTGTGATGATGACAAAGGCTCCTTGATTCCTGGTGTGAGCATGGGCCCACAATGACATAGCTTGGTTGTTTCACCCCACTAGCTTTCCTGGAGCCAGGGTCAAATTAAGGACATGGAGCTGGGCAATGGCTGTAACAACCCATCCATTCTTATGGGATGATTAATTTAATATTAAGGAAGGATATACCAATGTCTACCCACGGTCTGTAAATTAGCTGTGGGGTTTTTTTGTAACTTACTATTTATGGTGTCCTTAAGAATATTAATTCAGGTTGTGTTTGGAACAGGGAAAACAGTAAATTATTCAAAACCCATGCCTTTTACATGGCATGTAATAAACAAAATAAAATAAACAAAACCCAGCATATAACAACAACCTCCACTCCCATCTCCCAGGTCAAAGACATGCACATACAATAAAACTATTTGAAACAAACTGGTAGTAACTGCTATGGGGGTAAAGTGCAAGACTGTTCACTGGGCTGCAAATCCATTTCCTCTTCATTCAGGTGAAGAAGCCCACATACCAACATTCAACATGTTAAGAACAGAAATCTCAAGGGAAATGCTATGAATTTTTCTCATTTTCCTTGCCACAGTACCACATTTTTATTATTTTGAAGAAGCAAAATTATTTGCAGAATATCAAGTTCATTGTCAGCAGGCAGCTTCTTCAAGTTAATTATAAGAGAACTGCACTTTGAAGCCATCTCTCATTTGGAGGTGTAGATCCCTGTGAGAGTGGCTGCAGCTGTGAGTTCTGCAGTCTCCTTTCACCATGAGGTATGTTACTGGACTGGTTTGAATTCTAGGGGTATGTAGTCCTTACTACCGACTGTAAATGGAAATAATAATTTGAGCAATACTTGTAATTCTGTTCTAGTGTAATTACATTTGCTGCTTGAAAGAACCAGGGAAGATCAAGCAGCTGCATGATGACTGCATGCTTCTATCTGAGAGTCTGCCACCTCGGTTCTGGGGGTGACACTCCTGAATTTTTTCTCTTGATTTTTGTTTTAAGTGTGTCTTTGTTCCAGTGGCTGAAACAAAAGGCTTTGGATCTCCCTGTCCTGGGAATGAAATACATTGCTTGCTTTTTGTAATGGGGCTTCTCTAGACAGTTTAAAAAGAAAACGAAGAAAACCCAACCAAACATAAAAAAACCACCCCTCCAAAAATGTGGCTGAAATCTCTGGCCTTTTTTAAACTGTGGATCCTGCTGTGCAGATGCTTGCTTCTTCAGACCTGCTCAATGTTGGTGCTAAAATGAAACACACATTGTTCTCTCTCTTCAACAGTGTTCAGCACATGTTGAGGGAACCAGAGGAGCAGTATTTTGGCACAAGCACCCACAATGTCTGATGTTTCATTTCAGGTTATAAACTGGATTACAACATGCTTTCACCCTGTGGGTATTACCCAGGGAAACAGGCTGGATCTGCCTGATGTATAAACCCAATCTGGCTAAATGCTTGCCAAGTGGAAAGTAAATTATGGATACAGCATCTGTATTTTTAACAGGAATTTAGATTAATTTCAGTCATGCTGAATGATTATTAATACTACTTACCTCTTCAGTCCAAGAATGTAATGAATACAATATTCTGGAAATTGTGTCTAAAGAGTTCAGAACAAGAGTTTAAACTTTTAAAACATCTATATTTGTCCTAATTAAATCACACTAGCACAGGCAGTATTTAGATCCAACATTTTTTCTTCTTGATGCAAATGAACCTTTGTGTCCTTTTATTTGTAGGAAGCTTTGTTAGCCTCAGTTAGCTGAAATACTTGCATATTATTTGTTTTTTCAAAAGAAAAGATACACTGTATTTAGAGATGCAAATACTACCTTGTATGCAAAAACCACCAGCTGTTATACTGAAAGACAAAGCTAATTCTATGTTGCTTTACTTCAGTAGTGTCTGTGTATTCACAAGCATCTTATTAGCAAACTTTTCTGCATAGCTGAAAAATGCCAGGTACCTAATTTATTTTTATTTCCTTTGGTAACAGCCTAGTAAAATCTGAATTGATCTGTGATTTTTTTTTTTTTTTAAACAAGTAAATATCTTAGCTAGTAGAATATACCTCTGCATTAGTGTTTGTACAAAATTTGAACAGAATGTGAGCTTTGATTCTCACATTCTGTGAGTATGAGTCTACTAATTGCTGCCTTAAATATTTGACTTAAGTCTGAGTCAGACCAAATACACAGCCCCTTAGTGGAAAAAAACTGCTGCTGGTTTGTGTGTCAGTAGCACAGCTTTCTGAAGAGGTTCTTTGCTTCTTCTTTAAACATTTGGAGAGACAAAGAGCTTTTTTGGGATCTTTTGTTCTTGCTGAAAGTTGACGCAGAGGAGAATTGTGTTCCCTGAAATACTCTGAGCCCTGGAAAAATCAGGGTGGAATCATTAAGTGTTAATCTTTATCCCTGTTATAAACAAAAGTGCTTTCGTTTCATCGGTGGCAACTGTCCTAGTAATGGATGTTACGTAATATTTACTCTCCCCTTCAGAGTTAAATCCTTTCTCTGATTTCCGAGTGATATTGGCATATGTATTTCTTAGCTGCATTGACATGCCAGATGCACAGCGGTAGCTGTCTCCGCCTGCTAATCCTGTAATAACATTCTGGTGCCCAAATTGAATGGCCCTGCGCGGAGCCTCGGAACAGCTGATTGCTGAGTAGGGAGGAAAAAAAACCCAACCCAGCGAATCTCACTGCAGCTCTTTGCTGCATCCCTATCCCACAATCCCTTGCACCATTTGCTGCAGTCTTTCCACACAGGCTGAGTGAGAAAAAGATGTGCTTAAATAAAGATTGATTGGTTTGAATCCTGAAGGGGTCTCCCCTCGTGAATGACCTGAGGGGGAAAAAAAGATAATTCATGACGACTCCACTGGGCCTCCTCTTATTCTTCCATTTTTCTTTCCACCTGTCCTCTTCGTGGAATGGAGCAACCTTGCTCAGAGCACAAAATACATTGTGCGTCTAATAACGGCTGTGCTGTGATAGGGATTCTTAAACAGTTCTATGCGTGAGGCTTGAAATATTAACAGATGATGGTTTGTTCGTTTGGATTACTGCGGAACTGCAGCTCCATCCCTGCAAGGATTTTATCCTCAGCACTGCACTGATTAAGCTATTTTTCTACAAAGATGGGTAGGTCTGAAATGCTCAAGTTTGCTGACTGTTATTCCTGGTGGCTCCTGCTGGGTTGCTCCTTCTGTTTCAGCCCCCGATTGTTCCATTATGCTTCTGCATGCTGTAAGAATGAACAGGGTTGCTGTGTTTTAAACAAGGCACCAAGCTGATTGCAAGAGTGGGAGAGAAAGGAATGCAAATCTAGCTTATCAAGCCTTTTACACAAGTGGACTGTGTGGCAGTTATGATTATTAATTTGCTTGGTGTGTTCTGTATCAGCTAATTTTGGGTCAGCTGCTAGAAATGTCTTGAATCTGTTCGCTATTCCTCAAGACTGTGGACAGGCGATGTATCTATTTTAAGGACTTTTAAACCCCAGCCCCAACTCTGTGAAGCAACATTATTGAGGTTCCCCAACCTTTCTTGTAGCTCTCAAGGCCTAACCGATCCTTTGGAGACATTGCCATTGGAAACCTATTCATTCATAATACATCAATAGACCCTCTGGGTTGTGAATACTATTGATAAGAAGAGGATGAACCAGCTGTGAGCAATTTGTTCTCCTTAGGCTGTACTTTCAGGCTACTTGCAGCTCTGGATGGGTGGAGTTCAGTGATAGCAGTCTATCAGCAACAGAGAATTCTGCTCTTCTAGGAACAAATCCTGGGAATTTACCAGTCAATTCTAAGTTTTCCAAACAGCTTTTTCTCGGCCAGGCCACAGAAACGAATAGAGAATTCGGTCACTTTTGAGGAATTCCAGAGCTCATTTGAAGATGCCTGTAGAAAGGTTACACTTTCCTATTACATTGCTCTATTAATCTGAAACAACTCTTCTGGAATTATTTGCTGTACCCTAACGTGGTTTTTTTTTACCCCTTTTTAAATACTATAGGAAGTTCTTTTCATATGGTGGGGCCACACCCTGACTTTGGTTCCCAAAGACTTGCATGTGTAGCAGGACAAGGCTTTCCCCTCGCTTAGAGAGCCACTGCTTTCTCCTTTCTTTGCTGTATAGTGTATTTTGAATGAAAATCGATAGTCTATCTCCAGGCAGAAGGAAAAAGAACAATGTTGTTTTTGGGGTGACTGGAAAGATAACAAACCTTGAGCCTCAAAGAGGTGACAAAGGGTATATGTTTCAGAAGCCTTTTCTGCACTTGATTTAGCAAACCTTAACAATGCTTCCAGTGTGTGCTTCTAATAGAGAAACGGGTGGGGTTTTATGTCTTGTTTGGTGCAATGCTTCACAAACCTTTGGCTTTGCATGTTTCCATTATGAAGTGTGAATACATAGAGTAGTGCTTCTCAGGCTTGTTTTCAAAGCTCATGTTTCAGCTAGTCTTGATTAGATTGTGAGATAGAACAACAAACCTCCAGAAAGTGCTCTTGCAGTTTCCGAGCTCAGAAGATGCTACTACAAGAAAGAATGATTTTATTGTAAAAATAGTGTTACTTTGTGAAATCTCCCACTACTAATGCATCTGAAACTTAATGTTGCTGTTTTAAGGAACTGCTGCTAGCACTGCAGTAAATCAGAATAAAAGGTATCTTTGATCAAGTTCAAAAGGATCATCTAAAATCTCCAGCTATTCCTCAGTCTTTCATTGTACAGTTGCTTTCATTGAGTCAATGCGCAAAATCATCCTTGTTAGCTACATCACATCATCATATTCATAAAAATTGCACCAAAGGTGGAGTTGGCTTGGGGAGGCTGCAGAATCCAGGAAATTGAATACTCAAAAAGATTTTTAAAATGAACCACTTGTGTGAAAAGTTGTACCAGATAGAGGCCAAAGCTTGAAATGTACTGATGAAAATCCATTTTCAGGTGCATGTTTTAAACCTGATTTATGTAAGCACAGGGATAGATAACACTCATGGCCTGCTGCATTCCAGACAAAATACCAAATGTTGAAAGCACTTATTTCTGAATTGTTAATTGTTTCTTTCATTAACAAAGCTTAAAGTGTGAACATATGAAGATTAAAGTAGCCGACAAGATCTTTGTGTATGAAATGCTAAGAATCACCTGATTTTGCAATGGGATTGAGGGAATATGAAAGACTTAAGATGAAAATCAGATGAAATCAATATGATATCTTTCAGGCAGCCGGAGTTTTCCTGTATAAACACTATTTTTACTGATATAGCTCTACTTGATGGTGGAAAGATGAAATTACAGAAAATACCTGGTTGCTAGAGAGTTTTCTTCTGTTAAATTATAGAATGACAGAATCACAGAATGTTTTGGGTTGGAAAGGACCTTAAAGATAATCTAGTTACAACCCCCCTGCATAGTTAGGGACACCTCCCACTAGACCAGATTTCTTCAAGCCCATCCAGCCTGGCCTTGAAACCTTCCAGGGAGGGGGCATCCACAAATGACAGGCAGCATTCATTGAAGACCTGCTATTTCATAGCTTAAATACAATGTTTTGGTAATAGTCTGTGCTTAGTCTATAAAAAAAATTCTGTGGTTCATAACTTATTGATGTCCTTCTTATCAAAGAAATCTCCCTGCATCTGCTTATCTTGCCTGTTTTGTTTGGGTCTCCACCCCTAAATTTTGGGTAGGCAGAGTGGGAGGGCGCATCAGTGGTGAAATGAATTTTCATTTGAAACACATCACCAAAGTTCAGGGTGTTATACTGCCAAATACATGGATACATTAATGCATATTTGATAGTCTGCACTTGCTACTCTATGACAGATAGATACTTTGGTTCTACTTCTTGTAAATCCATTTTTTAACTCAAGCTTTTGAAAAGTAACACAGGTTCCTAACTGATCTCCTAAGGTTTGTGGCATTCAAATAGGTAAAATTATTTTTTTTAATGTAATGTTCACATTTTATCTTTGGAGAAAGAAATTTAAAAAGTGAAACAAATTATCAATCCTGAAATAATGCATTTTTATATCTTGAACAAGTAATTTTACGAGTATTATAGCAATTTTTATTCTTGCAGATTCTTGGGAAAAAGGAAACAAAAGGGCCTGCCATAAGTGTTTTTCATTGAATTGCATGTCAGTTACTGCTTCTGTTGCTTATTTTGATTGTGAATAACTTTATGGAGCTGTATTTGCTAGCACAGAGGTGATCCCCCAGTATCTGTTGTGATGGAAGTCAGTGCAGTGTAATCCAGAATCACCGTCATTATCGTAGAAATGGCCACTTGTTCAATGTAGTAAGGAAACCATACCTGTATGGCTAAATATACAGTTCAGGATGAACAAGCATGAGTTCAGCTCTGCCGGATTAGTGTGCAGCACGTTCAGCTCAGGAAGAAGATCTGATGTAACACTGCCAATAAAATACTAAAGACCATGCAAATAATTGTGGAATGGAGTGTCCTTTGAATGAGCGACATCAGCACTAAGGTGGGCTTTGTTACTTCTGTTTTGAGAAGTCTGAACTGCCCTCAAGCCAAATATCAAATTGTCTGAAATGGATGACTGCAGACTGGGGCAAAAAATGTTTAGGGAAGTAGTTACTGCCTCAGGAGTGTACCTGGAGTGCAGGAGCCTGGCTGGGTTCCCACTCACATGGAAGAGGAGCCTGTGTTTCACTGTGGGTGAGGGAGGACAGGGAGAAAGGGCTGTGACACTGTGGTCATTCCCCGGGGAGCAGCCTGCACTTCCCAGCACTGCAGCCTGCTAGAAATGCTCATGGAGAGGGGTTTTTGCTGGGTCACCCAGCCAGGGCCTTTGCCTGTCAGGTTTTCTTTAACTATTTTAGCAAGCAGTTTACTTTTCCCTGAGGTTGCTTCCTACCTTTCCCTCCCCTGTCTTCTCTTTCCACGTAATAATTCTGTTGGCTGTAATCCATTTATCCAGCTGAAAAGAGACTAGGAGTTTCTCTCCCTGTGCCTTGTTCTAGGACTGGAGGAGTTCCAAGCCTGCTGGTGTTCCTTTAACCTGCAATTTAAATTCTGTCAGTCAGTAGAATTTTCCTTACCCTTCTATTTCATACTTTAGATTCTAGGGTTAAGAAGTCTTCAGTCCTAAAAACATGATTCTTACTACCCTTTCTGCCTAGATTGCCATTTTTCTTGAATTTATTATTGGATATGCCTTGTGTATCCTTCACCCTACCTTTGCTGATTCTCAGCAGCTATCAGTTGCCTCTTCTTTGCTTGGTTTCTTTTATCATGAGGATTTTCACTTCACCTACCTCACCCCTACTGCTGATGCAGAATTTGAGCACTCCTCCTGTAGGGACTGGCAGGTTCTGGAGGTGCCTTCTGGGGAGCTTCCTGGAGTCCTAACCTACCATATCTTTGGCAATGCCAGCACTGACAAGAGAAAAAAACCTGTTAGAACCATTTTCAAGCTCTGTCACTTGACTGGCTGGTACAGTTCCAATTTAAGTACTTTGCAATTGGTATTGTAGACATGTCACAGTTTAACACAGGACTGGCAATGAAACAAATTACAATAATGCTCTGTATCCCCTCTCCCTCCCACCCAGGTAGGGAAAAGAGACAGAGAATAAGGAGAGAGGCTTCCGGATTGAAAACTAAACTAGACAGCTTTAATGAAATAGTAGTGATAAAAGAAAATATGTACATATATACACAAATATGTGCAGGAATGTGCAAAACCCCTATCGCCCCTCACATGTTTCCCCGCCTCAGCAACTCCCACTGCACCCACCTGAGCTGGGCTGTCCTGAGAAGATCCTGGACAACTTCCAGAGCTACCAGAAGAGCAGACAGGAGCTGAGGGTAGAGGTACAGGGGTCACAAACACACAGGCCTAGGGATCAAAGGAGATGGATAGATGGAGTCCTCCCTGGGCGCCAGCCATGGATGTAAGAACTTGACTTCTGTGATCCCTGAATATATACTGAGAATGACATGGTGGTCTGGGATGCTCCATTTGGCCACTTTTAGATTGTCTGTGTAGTCTGCTCCTCCCTGCAGGAGGGTTGTAGATATGATTCTTCTGCTCCTTTAGTGTTCAAAGCAGCAGATCCAACAAGTAGAGCAAAGTGGCCTTGGTCTCCAGCAGTAGCTATAAACATTTGGGTGTTATCAGTCCACCAGCTGGAAAACTTGCTGTCAATTTCAGCAAGTGTGCTGCTTAAAAGAGAGTTCACTGAAGAAAAAAAAAAAATCGGTAACAAAAGAATTGGCTTAATCCTGGCTCAAACAAGGACAAGATTTAAGAAATTCTATGTTTGTTAGCCCTGACTGAACCTACTGGCACAAGAACATTTCTACTGTGGGATTTCTTTAAAACCAGGCAGCTCTGCAGCTCTTTCAGTCGAGAAGCAACATGCCTTTCCAGAATGCCAGCTCAGACAGGTGATATGTGTGGTGGTGTAGGCTGGACTGTCTGTTTCTCAGGTTCTCATAACTGATATTCCATTTTAGAAGTTAAATTCTTAAATACTTTTGATTTTATATGGAAATATGAGTTCCTGCATAAGGATGAAACATGAGTGAATTAGTTGTTGATTGTGTTATTTGATGGAGTTTATAAGCCTTTTCTTTTTTTTTTTCTTTTTGTTTTCTTTTCCCCACCCCACTCCAGCATTGTGCAGGGTAGAAGGGAACAGGACCCATATGTCAGTGGTCTAGGATGGCCAGTGAAGGCTCCAACATCCCAAGTCCTGTGGTCCGTCAGATTGACAAGCAGTTTCTGATTTGCAGCATATGCCTGGACCGTTACAAGAATCCCAAAGTACTTCCCTGCCTGCACACGTTTTGTGAGAGGTAAGTCCTTTTCTCATATTTATAACTACGTATTTGTGCCTTGCAACAGGCATGCAACTCTGCATCCTTTAGTAGACTGAGACATTACTCTTGTCATGTTAAGGCACATAATGTCTGGGAAGGCACTAGAGGCAGGAATGTGGAAAGACACTGCTATTTATGGCAGCCAGGAAGAAGAGACAGAAGCAGAGTATTTGCAATGCATTCCTTTTATGCAAGAATAAATAAAAAGTAAATTCAGTGAAACTAATGCATACAGTTACAACACTGTGAAAGGTGATGGAAGTCAGAATTTGGACCTCAAATTTATACTGATTAGTCTGTAACTAGAAACAATAAACCTTGCACAAGGTTCAGCAAAAATAGTGGGTTTCTGAGTGTATTAGATGAGATGGTATTTTGTAGAAGAACAGAAAATCCCAACTTTACTGAAGTTAGTAGTGAAACTCTCACTAAAGTCAGTGAAGTCAAGATTTTCAACACTGTGTCTTAAGTTTCTTTACTTCAGTTCCTGTGTATATTCTAAGGTCAGCTTCTGGTTTTCACTGTAATCCTCTTATACTGATCTGGTTATGGAGAAAGGCTGGAAGAACTTTGCCAAGTGTAGTGCTGAGGTCCAAAGCCTAAGCTCTCTCTCACAGAGCCCTTGCTGGGGCTGAGGAGGAGAGCTGCCAAGGGAGGATGAAGAGGGGTGCTAGCAAACCCCTTGGAAATGGGTAAGAGCTGTGTAGCTCTTTCTTGGTGTAGCACTTTCTTGGTTGGCATCTCATGAGGAATTTGGTGTAGCACTGTTCCCCTTTTAGACTCCTGAAAAATCTAATTCTGCAAAGCTCCTTGTGCTTATGGAACTATATTGAATTGTCAATTACCGTTTGATAGTGCATGCCCAGCAGTTGCCCCTTGATTTCCAAGGCCAAAAGTGGCACTACCAGTCACTTGGACAAGTCTGCTGCATCTTTTTGATCACAGAACTTTTCTGTCAGATTTGTATTCTGTGAAATACAATTTTTCTACCCCCCTCCACCCCAAAATCAAACCCAAACAAAATCTCCCCCAAAACTCTGTATAACATAAACTGTGATAACCCAGGACATGCTTCTCTAAGTAGTAAAGAGGGCTCTGTTGATTCTGGCTAACTGCCAAATAACTTTCCTAATTGAAATAAATGGAAAAATTTTCATTGCTTTCATTGGGACCAGGTTTTAGCTCTGAAACACTAAACCCACAAATAGAAGTTAATAAAGGAGATTCTGTTGGAAAGAGAAGGGTCAACCACGTGTTACTCAGTTAAAGACACAGGCTCAAATACTTGATGCAATTTTTTCATGTCTGTCAAACTTTATCTGATAGTTTATAATTTTTACTACCCTGTGAGCAGGATGCAGTAGATGTCTGGAAGCATGAATCCTCTCTGCACAAATATCGCAAAGAAAGGCACATAACCCTTATAATGATGTCCGCTTATTGAACTTTTTTCATGTGGGAAAGCTAGAAACATTTGAAGGGAAAAAAAAAATTCCCATAGCCCCTTTTACTTCTGAGACCTGGTGATGTAGCTTTCCTTTTATAAGTAGGATTAGCACTATTTCAAACCCCTTCTTAAACTGAAGGGAGGTTTTTTCCCTCTTTGATGATACTTTGCCTCTCTCTTTCTCCTCTTCCACCTCCCTTACCCACAGGTGCTTACAGAATTACATTCCAGCTCATAGCTTAACCCTTTCTTGCCCTGTGTGCCGCCAGACCTCTATTCTGCCAGAGAAAGGGGTTTCTGCACTCCAGAACAACTTCTTTATCACCAACCTGATGGATGTCCTGCAACGAACGCCGGACAACAGCATTGAAGAGTCGTCCATCTTGGAGACTGTCACTGCTGTTGCTGCGGGCAAACCACTCTCCTGCCCCAATCATGATGGAAGTGTAAGTGAGATGGACTCCTGTGATATGTACAGCTACTGAGATGTGCTGACTGGTTGGGTTTGTCAAGGATATTTTTTGTTCTAACAAGTTAGTGGGGGAATTGGAATCACACTAGTTCTTTGATTTTGCAGTATGTCAACAAGAGACCAATGATTCTTAAAATTCACTTGAATGTTTTTAGTGGAGCATCTTAAATAGTAGTCAGGCTATTATTTTGTCTTACCAATCGTCTTGTATGATTCTAACTTTCGGTACATTTGGTCAAAATTGTTGTCCTGCAAGTGCTGAACCTTGTGCCTTTGCCTCTTTGGGATGGGTTTCCATAGCTCTCATACTTTTAGACTCAACTGTTGCTGTGAGAACATCTGGACTAGTTTATGCAGTATACAGCAGGGACCTTATAAGCTTAACTGACCTGCATACAGAGGCAGTACCAAAAGCTATGTGAGCACATTAATATAGAGCCAAGGAAAAGGATGTTCCAGCTCAGGATGCTTTGGGTCAGCACAGGCTAGAAACAAGAGAGCTTCTCTTTATCCTGCAGTGTTTTGTGCATCTCAGGTATCAGTTCTTGGAAGCTGTTTGTTTTTTTTTTTTCCCCAACCTACTCTTTTGCCCAGCATCCCCAACTAAGTAACTATCTCCAAATTACTACAAGAACAGCTCTAATTTTGCTTACTTCACAGTTTTCAGTTTTAACCTGTATGGCTTTATGGTAGCCGTACCAGCTCCTGTTTCACAGCCAGGCTTATGCAAACATGTAAGTAGAGCACATTGCAAAGCTGTGTTGTGAACCGAATGCTGTTGTGCTTCTATGCAAGCCAAGAAATACATATCTGTATTTTAAGATCACTTTCTGAGAATGTTTTATTTGATCCTCAGTTCAGCTTTATCATTTGCATAGGAATAATTCAGCTGACAGGGAGTGCTTACTCTTACAGAGAAGCCACTGAGCTCCTTCGCCTTTACTGACCTACTGCAATTAGGTGGACTTGTAGAACTGATTTGCTGTCCACTCTGATTAATGAATAACTGGTGTAACTTTTTTTTTTTTGGTGTATACCTATGTGTGTGTAGTGGTTACTGATTAATACATTCCTAGTTTTTATTTGCATTTTATTGCTTCTCCTTAAAATGAAACATAGTTTTTTTTTCTGATATAGCAATTGTGATAGGAGCCATCTGGTTGTGAAATGCAGAAAAAAAGTAAAAATGAAAGTGTTATTTGTTTTGCATTTTACATTATCAGCTCATGATACTTTGGGAGTACTTAGAAAAAAACTGGTTTGCCTACAGTTAAAAATACGTCACCGTAGACCTCTCTGAGGACTCCTTTCTAGGGAAAGGTGAGTTTGTAAGACCTCTAAAACAAACCTAGTAGGCTTGCCATGAAACACGGTGTGCCTTACAGGAAGCTGAGTAGTGCATGACAGGATTATCTTTTTGATTTGTTAAGTATCTGGGAGGGTTGGGGACAGGCTGAGGATGACTCTTATTTAAAGTGCCATGAGCTTGGAAGTTAAAAGCTAAATTGCACATATTAGTCCTGATGGGAGGAGCTGAGATAAGCTTTGGGGAGAGCTGTGTGAGGCTGGCCAGGTGGGTCTGGCTGAAGGGAAGGGCACCCAGGGCAGGGTGCTGGGCACCTTACCCCTGACTGAGAAAATGGGCTTTTGCTGGCTTCATGGGAACACAGCCTGAGGGCTCCATGTGGCAGGTGCCTGGCTGCCAGCAGCTTTGCTGGGGGCTTCAGGGAGTGAGAGAGGATTGAGGTGGGAGTTGGAGGAGAATGCCTTCACAGTTTTTATGTATTGCTTGGGGTAGAGTCAGTCCCATTGTATTTTTATTATCAAGAGAAAAATTTGCAGCAAGTATATTTCATTTAAGTATGAACATATTTTCTTTTTATTCCTTTGGGAAAATTTTCTGTTTAAACAAGCTTTTTTCAATCTCTCCAGCCATGCTGGATTTAAACCTCTCTGACTAAAATCAGAGAGGAACTGATGCACAGATATTTTCTCATTGGCTTACCTGTCTTCTTGTAACTTAGCCTTCCTCAGGCCATGCAGTTTAGATAACTTTCCCTTCCTATTGGTCTCTTATTCTCACTACTCGTATTTTCCATACATGTGTGTGCATTCTATTCCTTCTGTGCGCATCCTCCCATTCTCTGTTGTGGCGACTTTGTTGTGTGTATTCTTACCAAAAACGAAACTTAGCTTGTAGGATCTTAACATGAGAGATGTTTTCCTATGATTGAACTATAAGCAAGTGCTTCACCCAGCACAGAGCACATGTATGTTCTTGTTAAACATATGTAATATGGGTAGTAGGGCATACATGTTATGGAACTTTTCAACCTAAGATTCTTATCTTCTATCTACACATTAAAAGTAAACTGGCTGTATTCTCAGCTGCTAGACACCTGCAGCTCTTGTTGGATATAAGCACCCTTCTTTGGAAACATTGGTTTGTAATCATTTGGGAACCAGGTAAAACAGCCAAGACAGAGAAAACTGTGAAATCGTACATCCATTACTTCACAATATGTAATGAGTGGTGTAGCCTTTTTGCAGTCACCCATCCTGAAAAGTCCATGCTTGAGCTTTACTTGAATTCGAAGTGAAAACCAGTCCAGAGGCTCAGGTCCATGCTTTTACAGGTGCAGTGTATTTTCTGCCTATAGAGCGTAACAAGAGAGCATAAGCATACCCAATATTAAATGAAACACTTGTAACAAGAGGGAATGCCTTATCTCTGACTAACTTTTTCTCAGAAGATCATAGAACAACCTGGCAACTTGAGAGGTATAAGATCTTGTCCAGAAAAACATTTTCTGAACTTGTGCAAGCATCGCTCACTGCTTGTATGCTTCTCTTAGAAAAATACAAAAGCAGCTATTTGATTAAATGACTTAAGAACATATCTTTTGAATCTTGTGTTTTTCTCTTCACCTCTGTACTTTCCACCATGTCACTTATTTGTGTATCCCATTAAAATAGAATTATTTTTTTCTGTACTCTGTCATATTCAGTGTGCCATTGAGGCTAGATACAAAATTCATAATGTCAGTTAGGTGCTTAATGAGCATTAGAACTAATAAACTGAGCTCACTGCTGGTGAAATTTTATTCTGCCTCACAAGGAGCATTTAATATAGCTAGGAAGCAATAGCATGACTGATACAATCATATCTGACTGAATTGGAAATTCATACAAGGGATTTGCATGGTTCACTTTTATGTAAGTCTGGTGTGTTTAAGTCATGTAAGCCTTATAAACTTCTTGAAAAATTTTCTTAAAGTTTTTGGATTTACTTCATGGATAAGGCAAAAGCTATGGCTAGGGAGAATAAAAGGCCACATTATAAATTTTGGCAGATATCTGAGAAGTGCCCTCAGGTAATCCAAACATATATTCTTCTAAAAGCCAAAACATATAAAGCTAAAGTACACATTAGCCCTGGGACAGAGGCATTAAGCATGTGTGTAACATGAGGAAGATGGCTGGCAAAGAGCAGACGCATCCTTTTTCTCTGGACTGCTGTTCTAATTCAAACAAATGTAGAGGATGAACAATGTGATTTTACATAAGGAGGACTTGTGTTTGATGAAAGCTTTTTATTCTTGAGAACTGAACTTTGAGGAGCTGAGATGAGTGTGTTTTGGTTTTGTGAAATCTAATTCAGAATTACCTGTGTCCTTGATTATGCAAATTAAAATTTTTCTGTAAATTCAGTTAAATTGCAGTAGTGAAGATATGCATGGGGCTCTAATTAGATCATTGTGCTGAAATATACTTCTCTGTATTAAGGCGGGAGTTAGTGGATAGGATTTCAGAACTAGCGGGTAATGGGTGCAAACTAGAGCATAGGAGGTTCAATGTGAATATCAGAAAAAACTTATTTACTGTGAGAGTGACAGAGCACTGGAACAGGCTGCCCAGAGAGGCTGTGGAGTCTCCTTCACTGGAGACATCCAAAACCTGCCTGGACACGTTCCTGTGTGATGTGCTCTGGGTGACCCTGTTCTGGCAGGGGGGTTGGACTAGATGATCTTTCGAGGTCCCTTCCAACTCCTAGGATTCTGTGATTCTGTGATTCTGTGGGTATTAATTCACATTTCATTACAGCTGATGGAAATATTATTGTTGACTTCAGTGGAAATACAGCTGAAGCCTGTGTCAGATGCTGTAATATATCCTGTCCAAGAGCTCCTTTCAATCTGGAAAGGAAGGGTTCAGGCAAACTTCTTTTTTTTTTTTTTTTTTTTTTCTCCTGAGGTGTTTTGTAAAGCAAACTGGTTATAATGAAAAGCTTTCTGGGAATATCACAAAAAGTGATGTCCATGTTAGCCACTGAGGGGAGAGAGGAAAGGCCTGAGGAAAAGAAGACTTAGAGGAGACCTTATTGCCATGTTCCAGTACTGAAAAGGTGGCTACAGAGAAGATGGAATCTCCCTTTTTATAAGGAGTCACATGACAAAGATGAGGGATAATGGGTGCAAGTTACTCCAGGGGAGATGCCAATTGGACATCAGAACAGTCAGTCAGACTTTGGAATAATGTCCCCAGTGAAGTGGTGGATTCCCCAACACTGAACACTTCTAAGGCTCAGCTTGGCAAGGTCAGCCACTGCCTCTAAACTGTCTTCCTACCTAGAAATGTTGGACCAGATGATCCCTGAGGTCCCTTCCAATCCAGCATTCTATGATTTTGTGATAGATGATTAGGCTAAACTTTAATATACCAAATATTATTGTAATAGTTGTATACAAAGACAAAAATATTGAATAAGTAAAGGGCTTGCTTAAATATCTTGAACCTAAACATTACATTATGGAGAGGCAGAAAGACAAACTTTTGACATTCATTTGAAGGAAAATAATTTTTTCAACCATATGAAAAGACTTAAGAGTTTCCTAATAAAATATTGTTCCTTTTGGTTGTTTCTTGTTGCAAATTTTTGAAGCCTTTGAAAAGATTTTATATTCTAAACTCTGTCTAACTCTCCTCTAAGCACTGTAAGACTGCATCACATCTTAGTGCCTACGTAAGTTAATTGTCAGGTCTCACAGGATCTACAACTGTGAAACTGCTAAATTCATAGTGACTGGAGTAGTGTTGATGAGAGCCATCACTGTTTAGAAGGTCTACATTTTTTTTATTTTTTTATTTCCCCTTGCTGATTATATATTTGGTCTTACACAGTTTATTTAGAACAGCTTTTAAATTTTCTCCAAAGTGGCTTACACAAATGAACAACAAGTGACTTAAACCCTCACTACATATGAATACCTATTGTGTGAATTGAGATAAGAGGGAAGAATGGGAATAAGATGGAAAGGAGCTTACCAGAGAAAAATCCCTATTAATGCTAGCAGCCACATGTAAATCACGGTTCTTACTTCTCCCTCCTAATTCTCAAAATGTCTTGGAGCAGCCAGCTACTTTGCACAGTGCTGTTACAAGTCCCTCTGCTCACCTGAAAACAGCCAGTTCTACACAACTATCTTGTTGTCAATCAGTATCTCCAGCACAACTGTCTTTGTGCACCTGGTTTGAGTGCCAGAAGTGGAGTTATTCAAGACTGTGATGCCATGTTCTGAATGCAAGAGAGTTGCCAGTGTCTTGCTTTGAAGCATATACTACAAGCTTCCTTATATACTTATAGTAAGTCCTTTGTGCTTAAGGACTTCCCAGCTGTAAAAGAAAGTCTCGTGCTGAATTCATATATATGTGTGCATTATATTCACTAATGTATGATTTTGGGAACAGTACTTTTGTATTTCTTTTCTTTCATTAATATATTCAGAATTTGGGGTATTTATTACATGTACATACCTTTTTTATATCCATACAACATCTTACGGGATGCATAACAGGTTGAAATCTCCTACTCCTTCAAGTGTAGATCAGCACTCTTATTATAATCTCAGATATGAGTGTTTGATGGTTTTAAGGGATTAGTAATGGGATATGGAGATCTCTCCCTGCAGCACATTGGTTCATTGAGGGTGCTTTTCTCTAGCAAATAAATATGCTGCTTGGTGAGCTCCATCAAGTTCATGTTCTGTGGGTGGCCCTGTTATGAGTTTACACTTTCTTTGGCAGATCCTCTGGGGAGATGAAGGATTGAGTTAGAGAGGGGACTTTGAATGCCCTGGTATTTTGAGTTGTTTCACAGAGTACTTGAGAAAGACACCAAAACTTACTATGACACAGGATAAAGATGATGATAGGGCCAGCCTTGAAATCCATCATTGTGTTCCTCAGGCTGCTGTTGTGACACTTTTTGATACAATAAAATGCATTTAAACCAGCATTTTGATATGAAATATGTAAGAATAACAGCTATCTTTTAGGCAGTAAATTATGGGTGTCTAAGAAAGGAGAAACTTCTCAGAGCTTGGTAATGAGTTCAAGACCCTGTCAGAAGTGTTTTGAGTGATGTTACTGCTGCCATGTTTCAGAGTTGTGCACTACCTTTCCAGGTGATGGAGTTTTATTGCCAGTCTTGTGAGACCGCCATGTGCCGGGAGTGCACAGAGGGAGAACATGCAGAGCATCCCACGGTACCGCTCAAGGATGTGGTGGAGCAACACAAGGCTTCCCTCCAAGTCCAGTTAGATGCTGTGAACAAAAGGTATGGAGACTCCACTGATGATTTGCTGTTTTCATTTCTACCTCTGGCTTCCTGCATTACCAAGAGTAGATGTTTTTATGTGCTAGTGCCATGGTCCTTAACCTAGAAAACAGAGGTAATGAGACTAGTGTAAGGAACAACATCCATTGTGTGTGATGCAATGAAAGATTAGAGAGAAGAGTAAAAGATTCCTATCTGTCTTTCACGAAACAGAGGCCATAAGAAATGCAAGTGTCCTCCAAAGAATGAACATAAAATTCTAAGGAGAAAAGAAGTAGCCAGTTATTAATTTCATTATAAATATATGCTCAATGGATGTTCAAAAAGACGAGTATAAACATTAATGTGGCAAAAAAGCTAAAACCAAAACAAAAACAACAAACCAAACAAAAACAACCCCCCCCCAAACCAAACACAAAAAAACAGGGGGGTAGATCTAGCTATATCTTCCTGAGTAGGTACATTTGCATAAAGGATAGAGAATCTAAGTCCTCCCTGTTGGAAACGCCTAAAGTCTAATGGATTTCCACAAGGGAGGGCCTTAGTTTAGCCTTATTTTATCAGACCAAAACCACCACGTGGTTGTAAAAGGAATACATTTCTGGGAAATGAGTGAGTTTAAAGAGAGCGTGCTGATGAGATGGTTTCATCAAAAGATATCAGGGCAAGGGCCAATGATTAATAACTTTTGAAACAGCAATCTTTGTAATTTAATCCCTCCCTCAGGCTTCCAGAGATCGACTCAGCACTTCATTTTATATCTGAAATCATACACCAGTTAACCAACCAAAAGGCTAGCATTGTAGATGATATTCATTCCACTTTTGATGAACTCCAGAAGACTTTAAATGTGCGAAAGAGCGTGCTGCTTATGGAACTGGAAGTGAATTATGGCCTTAAACACAAAGTAAGATGCATGTTTTGTTTCAATGAAAAACTATTAATTTAATCAGCCAGTTTTTACAAATGATGCAGGACACTAGCTTGACAAATTGTGTCTTAGATTCAGAGGATAACATAATTTTTCTGAAATCCTCTCCAAAGAAGAACATAAAATTCTAAGGAGAAAAGAAGTAGCCAGTTATTAATTTCATTATAAATATATGCTCAATGGATGTTCAAAAGACGAGTATAAACATTAATGTGGCAAAAAAGCTAAAACCAAAACAAAAACAACAAACCAAACAAAAACAACCCCCCCCCAAACCAAACACAAAAAAACAGGGGGGTAGATCTAGCTATATCTTCCTGAGTAGGTACATTTGCATAAAGGATAGAGAATCTAAGTCCTCCCTGTTGGAAACGCCTAAAGTCTAATGGATTTCCACAAGGGAGGGCCTTAGTTTAGCCTTATTTTATCAGACCAAAACCACCACGTGGTTGTAAAAGGAATACATTTCTGGGAAATGAGTGAGTTTAAAGAGAGCGTGCTGATGAGATGGTTTCATCAAAAGATATCAGGGCAAGGGCCAATGATTAATAACTTTTGAAACAGCAATCTTTGTAATTTAATCCCTCCCTCAGGCTTCCAGAGATCGACTCAGCACTTCATTTTATATCTGAAATCATACACCAGTTAACCAACCAAAAGGCTAGCATTGTAGATGATATTCATTCCACTTTTGATGAACTCCAGAAGACTTTAAATGTGCGAAAGAGCGTGCTGCTTATGGAACTGGAAGTGAATTATGGCCTTAAACACAAAGTAAGATGCATGTTTTGTTTCAATGAAAAACTATTAATTTAATCAGCCAGTTTTTACAAATGATGCAGGACACTAGCTTGACAAATTGTGTCTTAGATTCAGAGGATAACATAATTTTTCTGAAATCCTGTGCTGCAGAGCCTTGCTTGTGGGTGCCCAGCCTTGGAAATGGAATTGAAACCCTGTGTGGGCAGGTAGCTCCTTGTGCATGGTGTGTGAAGATCCAAAATGGCCAACACATTAAGCAGGCATCTGCTTAAAGCCAGCTGGCTGATGTGCAGATGACAATAAGGCAACACCAAAGAGAAGTCTGAAATCCTTGGACTGCAATCCTATGAACCTCCTTATGAAGCTGCAGGCCAAGCAGTTTCTCCTGAAGAACTGAGCAGGGCTTACTCTTTTGCTTTAAAGCACTGTTTTTCCTTCAAATGCCTGGTAACCTGTTTCATGTTAGATGTCAGTGACTGAAAAAAGTAAAAATTGGAGGGACATCTCACTTTCTCAGAGGGATGTGGAGAGCAATAAATTCTGAGCTGTATTCACTCTTTTACTTCTTACCTGGATGACTGAATGTTGCATTTTCCTCCCTGTATTGTAGAATAAGCTCCAGAGGAAGTAAACAGAAATCTGCCCTTTTACTGAGATAAGTCTGTATCCTGGTGGGTAAGGATTTTGTTGAGGATCAGGAAGTCTGAATCAGGCAAATGAAAAAATTTAGTTCTTGTCTTCCTGGACATCAGTTGTCTGTTTTATATAAAATTAAGGTCTCTTCCTTCAAAGTAGCCTTTAAAAGGAAGTCTGGAATTTCAGGAGTGCCTGATTGTATTGGGATCTTTGGGCATTCTTTGTGATTCCTGAGCAACTTGAGCATCTCCAGATGTCTGAAGTTGGAGGAATGCTGCATTTCTGGATTCGGAACAGACTTGATCATTAGGAAGGTATTGCTGGGACTGTGAAAATGGAGCAACATGTGCACAAGATACGTTCTTTCAGGAACACAGGGAGCCCAAAACCCTTGGGACACATAATTCAGTTCTCTCCAGAGCTAAGTAGCAGGTGAGGAGCTTTTGGCCTAAAAAATGTGGACTTAGATTCCAGGTTCATCTACACATATCCAACATGTCAGAAAAACTTATTTTCTTAGCAAGCAAAGCAACCACTCATGGTGTGTACAAAGTTCACACAAGGTAGAATATGATGTTAAATTGTATTTTTGTTGCTTAATGGGATTTAAAATAGTTTAAAAACTATTTTGAGCGTAAGACAAACTTATTTTTACAGAGCTGCACTGAAGCAGTAAAAGAGGCATCTCCCCTGTTTATGTATAAGCAATTGGAATTGGATTTTGTTTTTGAATTAAAAGTAGTCCTGCAAAATAATTAAAACCCAAATATTTCATCATTCTGGCCATGTACTTTGCAAAAATGAGAAAAGAAAAAGGCTACACTTTACTAAAAGAAAGCTGACATTTCAGTTTCAGTTTTCAAATAGACCTTGTGTAAAATATTCTAAATACATTCTAAATATTAGTTATGGTAAGGCTGAATACTTTCCATCTTTGTAATGGAAGAAAACTATATTGGAAAAAAATAAAGGTTTTAAAACATAGCTGCAAATTGTCTTCCTCTTCAGTTTGTGGTTTGTTATCCCAAGCATATGGGGTTTTGTCATCACTGAACTTTATTAGCTATGCTGTCTGTTTAACTACTTATGTCCTGGAATGAAGACAAGGCAGATTAGAAATGCCTTGTATTGAGTCTTGAGAAGTTCAGAGATTCCTAGAAAAACAGAAACTAGAAACTTCAGTGTAGTCTTGAAATTAATTAATTATATTTTGCTTACAAAATATTTTGTGTTTTTAACACTTTCCATGTCTGTAACTCATTAGCCTGGGTTTTGTTCAGTAAGTAAAAAGCAGGTTGCTTTATAAAATTCAGGAGAAAAATGCCTTTAGAATGCAGTGTCATTCCATGGTATGTCTCAGCAAGGGAACAGTATCTCATAGCAATAAACAGACCCAGGCTTACCCAAGTAAGTTTACTTTAAAATCAATTTAAATGTTTTGAAAATATTTACTTAACAGTGATCATCAACAAAATAACTTACCTGATCCACAGGAATGTCTATGCCCTAGTTTTTCACTGTAGGAAAAATATATCACATGTGTGGCTGACTTTGGTTTGAGGATTTTGTCAGTGGAAAGTGTAGAGGGTAGCTGGAATTTTTGGGCTTTCCTGACTGTCATCAGTTTCTCTGCCATGTTGTTATAATTCAGAGTTCCTTCTCCCAATTCACTGCAAAACTGTTTTTTTTTTGTTTGTTTGTTTGTTTGTTTTTGTGTTTTAAAAAAAAGGTTAGCCTTGTTCCCAGCCCACACCTAATAATTTTGAGGTTGATACTGTTTTAAGGATTTTAGCCTGAGGGCCAGAACTAAACCTATAATAAAAACTCTTTTTCAGTCTTAAATATAGAGTAGCCAGTTGCTACCCACCATAATTTCAGGCTACTTAACCCAAATCTTCCCAATATCCACAACCCATCCTTTATGTTTTGCTTTCTTGCCTGCTGAAACTGGGGAATCAACTTACCCACTTCTGCTGGGGAGATTTTTCCTTTCTTCAGGTATTGAGATCAGGAATCACACTTTTCCTCAGGATGGAAGTACAGTGTCGTCCATCTCCAGAGAGGAGTAACCCAAGGATTCCCTTGGCTCTGAATAAATAGTATCAAGAAATGTCTTGCAGTCTTCCTTATTAGTGGGCTTGGTGATTCCTAAATAGCTCGATCTCTGTGCACACAGCTCATTTCCAGGTAACTATCTCATTAACTGTGACTGCTGAGAGTTAGATGGAGCAGGCTTCAAACTTCTGTGACTCAAAACAGGGTATGTTCTTTGTGTTGCAGCATGATGTTCCAAGAACATGCAGCAATCAGTGCGGTACTTCTTCTAAAATGAAACTTTAAAATAAACTCTAAAATAAAGCACTATATGTCAAATTTCTACAAAAGCCTTCAGATATAAAGCATGCTACTACATATTGCTAGGACAGTTCTTGTAACATGGTGCTAATCTGATGTTTGGTAATGCATGCAGGTTCTTCAGACACAGCTGGATACCTTACTTGAAGGACAAGAAAGCATTAAAAGTTGCAGCAACTTTACAGCCCAAGCCCTCAACCACGGCACTGAGACAGAAGTTCTGCTGGTGAAGAAGCAAATGAGCGACAAGCTGAACGAACTGGCTGAGCGGGACTTCCCATTGCAGCCACGTGAGAATGATCAGTTGGACTTCATCGTGGAAACAGAAGGCCTGAAGAAGTCCATCCACAATCTGGGAACTATTTTAACCACCAATGCTGTTGCCTCTGAAACTGTTGCCACAGGTGAGGGCCTGAGGCAGACAGTGATCGGACAGCCCATGTCTGTTACCATCACAACTAAGGACAAAGATGGGGAGCTCTGTAAATCTGGGAATGCTTACCTCACTGCTGAACTGAGCACACCTGACGGGAGTGTGGCAGATGGAGAAATACTTGACAACAAAAATGGCACTTACGAGTTCTTGTATACTGTTCAGAAAGAAGGGGACTTCACTTTGTCACTGAGACTTTATGATCAACATATCAAGGGCAGCCCATTCAAACTTAAAGTGGTCAGATCAGCAGATGTGTCCCCTACAACTGAAGGTGTGAAGAGGCGTGTTAAATCTCCCGGCAGTGGTCATGTGAAACAGAAAGCTGTGAAAAGACCTGCAAGCATGTACAGCACTGGCAAAAGAAAAGAGAATCCCATTGAAGATGATTTGATCTTCAGAGTAGGTAGGTGACTTGTCTGCTAACTATTGACATCCTTAAAAACAGCCCAGGGAAACTAGATGAAGAAATCTAGATGTTTAATTATTTTAAGGCTAAATCTATAAGTAGAGCAACCTGATAATAGCTTTAGGCATCCTGGCTTTTGTTCATATGTAAATTTTTAACCATATACTTGAGAAATTCCCTTTGTGGCAAATATTTAATTAGAATTTGAAGAAAGGCAGACATTTGACTTGGGATAAAATATTTTACCACCTCTTCTGTACTCTATTAGGCATCATAAAATGAAAGTAAATTAAGATTAATGCTTCGGATTAGATGAAATTACTTCCTTTAAAAAATTGCATGGCAAGAAGAGAAATAGGAGGACTTGTTTGCTAAAACTATTGCCGTAAAAGTCAACCTTATTAATTAACCTGGAGCTATACATGCTAAATTCAGTGGTCATATATAGTTATTTGATTATGTTGGCATAGGACAAAATTATTTATTCCTTCATTTGCTTGCCGTCCTTCAATATCTAAATATGTTTAGTCGTTTATATAGTGTAAAGGTATCTCTAAATCTGCAGACTTCTAATGCTTGGTAAAAATGTTACGTCTTGGTGTCATTTAATGTGATTTTCTTTCAGGTCTTTTGATGTAGTCTGTTTTAAAACTATATGATGATAATTTGTCATTTTAAAAGGCTGTACCCTGAAGCATTGTATTTATATAATGTCTTCTTATATAGTTAGAAAATACTCTTCATTTTGCACAAGGAAAGAAAAAAGCAAGTTAATTCTTAATACGTACAAGTTTGGATTCCAGCAGTATGTGTTCCCAAGTTTGACAGCCAGTTGGCAAGGTGGCTTCCCCTTTGTAGCAGAGAATGGATTGTGGTTAATCCTGGAGGGATCTTTCATGAGTCTATTAAAAATTCATCTGGACACCATTTGTCAGTTGGTTAACCCTGTCCATCTGATTTCTTATATGTCAGTATTTCTAATAGATTCCTTTCTTTGATAAAGACATGCAATAACATAATATTTTTATATCGGGAAATCTATTCACCAAGTGTGCTTTGCTTGGACGGTCCATTGCAAGCTCTGGAGGAAGGCACTCATAAAATTACCAGCCTTTCCCAGATGGCCAGTGCATTTCATGGTAAAATAAATGACCTCATAAATATAAAAATGCCAAGCATTTTTTTTTTACAGAGATATCCGGCTTTTACTGTCACTAAGGCTAAATTTTATGGTGACTGATGAGTCAAAAGTTAGAAATATGATGTAGAACAATTAATACTGAAGTTGTCCCAGCCTTACTCAGCAGTAACCATGCTTTATCATCCAAAACTGGTAGAATACTTTTGTAAAATTAGTACCTTGTCTAGGAGGACAGTATCTCTCTAATCTATTCTGCAAAGATTGTGACTTTCTGTATACTACACAGAGAGGGGGCTGGATGCACAGATTAAGGCAGAAAGAGCCTGCAGGACTGTAGCAGGTAGGAGCAGGATAGGAAAATGTGCACAGGTACACTATGCCTCTAAGTAACAGAAGGAACTCTATTACACATTGTGGCTAACACCTTCACTGAATGCTAAGCTTTCTTGTTCAGTTTAATCTGTTCCAGTGTGGAAATCCTAAATCTAAACAGTTTAAAATATGAAGTCCAGAAATTATTTTAAAATTGTTAATATTCTTATTACAAAGCATTTGGTGTGCATTAAAGTGATTTCAGCTTGTAAATTCTGCTTCTGTATCCCTTGCTTCTAGTTAGTAGCTTCTAGCCTGACTACCAAATAGAGGTGTGGGACTGGTTTGGGTTTTGGTGGTAGTGGTTGTGTTTGTTGGATTTTATATTTTTTAACTGTTCTCTCCAACACACCATAAACTCTAGAAGTCTTGTTTTTCAAAAAGTGCAGTGCCATTTTTTTTTTTTTTTTGTGATGCAATCATGACCATGTGCTTTATTTTGGAGTTGTGTGCTCTCTTTCTTCATCCTTCTACACTCAAAAAAAAGAAGAGAAAATATTTAGAACCAGAGTGACCTGTGTCAGAGCTTTTGCATGATAAAATCTCTCATGAGTGTCTGCATTTGGGATATATGGATCACTCTTTTATTAAAAAACTGAGTAATACTTCATCCTATTACATGTTCAGTTCTCAGCCACTCATTTCATGGAATGACCCTACACAGAGATGTCCCTCTGGGCTTATATGGGTTTACGTGTGCATTGTCTGAAATGTCTCTTAAGCCATTGCAGCTGTAGTGCTCTAGCTTCCAAAATATGCAAAATTAATGAAGACAGGTAAAACTTCTGACACTTTCACAGGGATTGCCTTCATGGATTTCAGAGTTCCTTTAGCTCCAGTTTCAGCTCACATAAAAAAGTTAAGATTTGGTTCATTTGCTGATGAGGTAACATAAAATAAAATTTACCCCTGTTTTCCAACAGAGCTGCGTATCTCTATTTTGAACCCATTGTTGAATTCCTGTGGTAGCCCTGGCCAAATCTGGATTTGATATCTGGGCAAGATAAATCTTACAACTGAGCTGCCAGAAGCTCATACAGCTGTGTTGGAGAACCATACTGTAATATTCCCATGGGCATCCAAGTATCTGGATTATGCTGTTGTATATATGCTGATATATGGGCTTTTATGCACAAGTAAATTGATCGGCTCCTAGCACGAGATTGTTCTTGTGCTAATATTAACAGAGATAGCATTAATGCAACATTAGTATAGCTAAGTGCTTTTGGTCATGGGGAATTGTGCATTGTATCTTTTACCAATTCTATGTTATTCATGGCTTTTAAAATGGCATGTGGTTCTATTCACATCAAGCTATTGACTGCTCTTTCATACATTAATGTAATTCATTATTTACAAGAACAGAGTATTTCTTGCTTCCTTCTATTATTTCTCAAGAATTTATATCCTCAACATTTTAATTTATTTTTTTTTAAACAGACATGATTCCTAAGACAGTGTCCATGCAGTGTCTCTGTAGCATGTACTTAGTTTATGTAAATTAAAACAGGAATGTGCTTGTGATACTCAGAAAATAACTGTTGTGTGATATTTTTTTCTTCCTTTGGAAGAGATAGGAAGCACTGAAGTGAGAGGGAAAGCTCTTTTCCATTACCTTGCTTCTGTGCCTTATACCTATGCTGAGCAGAGGTAAATGGAGGTGAGGGATGATCACAGTGCCAGACATTTCCACCTACCCTTGTAATTCTGTCTCATGTCCTTCAACGGACAGGTATGAGCCATGGGTGGCATCAGTTAGCTACTCCATCCACGACACCAACTTGTGCTCTAGCTCTGCCATACTGTGCCACATATCTCAGTATTTTTTCTCTTTTGGCACTTTTCATGACTAGGTTATTTGACACCATTTAGCAGTAGTGGTGCTCTTTCCCACTTTACCTGCTTTTTCTCTTCCTTCATTTATGCTTGGGATTGGCAGCCAGATGGAGAATTTGATAGAAAGTTCAATTTTCCTTTTCCTCAGACTGTGTTTAGTTGTCTGTTCAGTCATGTAACTGAGCATCTAAGTTTAGCTGCTACATTCAAAGTGTGTAATCCACTCTGATTTAAAAAAAAAAAAAAAAAAAAAGAAAAGAAAAGAAAAAAAAGAAAGTACCTTTAACAGTTTCTCCTGTCAGCCTTCCTACCAGGTGCCAATGTCATCACCTGGTCTGTTACCAATGCTGAAAGCAAATAGGAGCCTTACTGTTAATTTACTCCACATAAAATCTCATGAACAAGGCCTGTGTAATAACAGCTTTAGTGCAGTTTAAAAGCAGACTTAGGGGGACCAAAGGGATGCTTCTTGATCAGGTGTTTCTTCTTTCATTTTATTTGAAGGCCTCTGTCTGCACCTCTGCATTGGATTGTCCTGTTTGAAAGGAACAGGGCTGCCTACGGATAGGTACTTTTTAAGCTTTTACAGAAATACAAGTGGGTTATGTGGGTACACATCTTCTTGAAAATACATAAATTTTTCCAACTTAATTACATCCTTGTATGGATGGCCCAGAGGAACCATCTCCCCTGTAGCAAGCAGCACCTGCTTCCTCCCTTTCCCCCATGCTTTCTCTGCCTTTCCAGCAAGGTCCTGTCTTTGACAAATTACAGCCTGGCTCAGGACATTGGAGAAGAAAGGGATAGGAAAGTGCAGTTGTTCCATGTAGTGCAGAGGTCCCTCTGGCACACATGTTCTTCATTCTGTATTTCAGAACTTTGGAACAAATCCATTAATAAGTAGTAAAAAATAGTGAGTGATACAGAATTCATATTTCTGTAGAAAAAGGAAAGCCTAGTAATAGGGAAATAGAAATTCATTTTCCAGTCTATTAGCTCAAATCCTTCTGAGTTTGTGACAGCCAGTGTGAAATCTGGCCAGGCCTACATCGCATAGGTTTGCAGTCATACCTGTATGGGATGGGGCTGAAGAATTCTGACCAAAATCCTCAGTGTGAGTCTGATGTCCTGACAACTGAGACCTGGTATTGGTTTGACTCATGTAATTCCAGTTTTTGCTGCTGTGTTAGCAGAGAACTATTTCTGAGGTGGACCTATCCCTCAGGTTTGTGCATACCTTGCTGTGGCAGGAGGGGCTTTACTGCACAAGCAAGGCTTGGAGGTGGTGTTGGCCAAGCTCTTAGGGACAGATGCTGTGTAAAGGAAATTAATGCAAATCAACCCAAGCTTCACTAGTAGTAGTGTGTGGGAGTGTCTCCTGGAGCTCCTACTGAATTATTAATTCCTCTTTAAAGGTTGCAAACATTGTATACTTTCATCCAACAGACTGATTGACTTTAAACCTTAGATTTGCATGGGAACTTGGCTTAGAATCACTGACATTTATTTTACAATAAACACAGAGTTTTTTTACAATATCTTTCAGCTCTATCTGCCATGGGAGAGGGCACTTTGAGGAAAAAAGAACCAAGGTTAGGGAACAGGAAAACAACTCGTTTATACCTGTGTCTGCAGCATGTAGGTACACATTTCCATGCTGCTTACTTTTGTCTTTTTTTTTTCAGTACTACATAGAGAACACGTCAAGAAGTATGTAAAGTGTTGTAGACAGGAAAAAAATGGTCCTTACACAATAGGTTATGGCTACTTGCAACCTATGAAGTGTTGCCATTAATCTGTAATCTTTCTGCAGGGTTTTTGTCTCTCATTT